ATTTCATTTTTGATTTTATGTTTAACCAGGAAGTGAATAAAATGACCCTATTAATACTCAAAACAGTATTGCTCTCTTTATGCCGGTCATAACCCTCCGTGAATTTCTCCAAGAAACAATTGGGTCTCCGTTAGAGTCATAGGTGGTTCGCCTCCGATCCGTGGTTTGTAGCAATTTATCATGTGCGGACGAAGGAAAATTCACATAAATAAACAATTTTTGACGAGCAATTAGGCAAATAATAAGTTTTAATGCAAAAAAAATCATCAAACGTTAACCCAAGGCCATTATAATCACGTTTTAATAAAGTAAAGAATTAAGTTTGCCGAAAAGCAGATTCTCTTCATGTACGCTTGAGTTAAGAATGAAGAAAATGCTACGATTTGTTTGCATAAAAAGTTGTGCCTCTGAAATAACATACTGTTACATTTGTCATCAAATATTAATTCAGTTTGCTAAGTTCTCAATCTTATATCACAAAAACTGGCACTTCAACAAGCAAAAGGTGTGAAGGCCCCAATCGAGGATTATCATATTTGATTACCTGATATTGTAGCAAAACAGATGTTTTCTAACTAGATATTGCTCTTAGGAATTATTCATTGGAATTTTCAATATTAAATCACCAAATAACATGATTTGATATTTTGATGATAAATCTAAAGAATGAAATGACAATGATAAAGATACATTTTTCACTAGGATTTCTTCTTAATTCATCTAGCATAAAGTTAAGCAGTCAATCGGTAAATAATCTACTTTATCCAGTTGGCATTAATCTAGATCACAAATATGGCAGTCGCACGATATCATAAAGGCAATGGCAATTGCATAAGGTATATAGAAAAGCCTACGTCATCACTTCTTCAGATGTCTGATTAGCGAACAGCTGTCTCACGTTATTTGACAGTTATCGAAATCGAGACAATACATCTTTAAAAATGTAAGATGGCTTGTTTCTGTGTATTTGAATTTTGTCAACACTTTTCTCTTAGACATCAATACTGTATGGTGGTAAAATCAGTTCTAAACCTTCATTGCGATGGCGATTATAAATATGTTAACACTCCAATTGATAACATATCTTTTCAGTGTAATTGATACCGGTTGCTCCTTGCTTTGGACATGCACATAAAGAATTTGGCCGAGTCAGAAATATTTTGCTGATCATTTGTTATTCTATGGACAGCACGTAGATCTGGACATACTGAACATGTCTGTCCCAGTCCGATTTTCACAAGGGCCTTATATGTTTTTGATTCAGAGATTTTGGATAAATCCTAATAATGGGTTTAGGATTTGTGGGTACAAAATGGAAACACTCCAGATATAGCAATGGTAAAATCAATGATTTATTAACGGAAACGCCGGATTTAAAACAATTTATTTATAGTAGGTGAACAATGGCAATATATGGTGAAGATTCTGAGAAAGTTCGATCAAATTATGATATGGGGCTTAGTAGAAAGGGACAAAAATGCACTGTAGTGTACAGATATGAAAAAGTCCATGTAATGCCAACAAATCGATTTGATGAATGTGAATAAGATTCGGTGAAAGTTTCACAAAATTCTGTTATGCAGTTTCATGAGCAGTTGCAGATACCAAACTGTGAGCAAAGAGCATATAGCCAGCCTCCACAGAACTATATAAACAACAGCCTCGTTAACAAAAGTATATAAGAAAGCAATGCATGATAAAGCCATAACAAAAACTAGGAATGTATTGCTTAGTTAATAACCTGCTTCGATAATATTATAGGTTTAAAATATACTGTATCATAAAATGCTCTTTTTATATCACTACAGGTATAGTGTTCGAGAACAAAAACCACAAAATCTTTCTTTAAACTGCAAACTGCAGTTAGAAACCAGTTCAATAGGGAGGCATTATGGCAAGGCTTTTGTGATACTTTGTAGTAGTTTGTGGCTGCAGATACTAAAGATGTATCTACGCTACAGTAGTGTTATTACTCGTTAAAATTGAGAGATCTTTAATGCAAATTAATGTGATGAACACCTTAATTACCTACTTCTTGATAGATCAATTATTTATCAAGACCTAATTTCTGTATAATCCATTATACAGAAGGAAATGTTTTTAATATTCTATTGTTTAATAGCATCTGATTTTTTGTAGCAAAAACTGTACATCTTTCAAATATGTTATTTTTGTCTATAAACAGGCACTTTGCCAATTAAACAAGAGGCTCTAGAGAGCCCTTTTCGCTAACTTAGGTATTTGTGCATCTTAAACATTAGACTCTCTCCAACAGTGTGGATTAGAGTATAATTCATGATAAAAATCTCTTTTTTTTATCTTGTATTGCTGATAATTTTTTCTGTTAACAGTTTCTTTGTATCTTTTTTTTCCCCCAAAACACAAAAAAAGGTAAAATAAAAAAAAAATCGTCATTTAAGGGATATCACTTAGAAATTGACAATGGCGATTGGTAGAAAACAAAACTTTACGACAAAAGAGATGATTACAGCTTCCCAATTATGAACTTTCTATTTCTATATAGCAACATTCTAACAGCGCTTGGATACGGAATATATTTCTCTCTGTTGATTCGATATTCCAAGGCTTGTATTTCCTATCATGATTTCCTTGATAGAGGGTTGCTGCTCAAAAGGAAGCTATTAAACTAAGAGTTCCAAGTGGTGAGTTGAAATCATCCCTTTGTAAATTTTAGGGACACCATCACGAGTTTGTTGACCGTTTTGGAATATCCATTTCACAGATGATGGCGGATATGTTCTAATTGTCGTAACTACAATCCTGTCCCCTTTTCCCCGAATGTGACCTACCAATTAGACTTATTACTGGGTTTGTACTAACATGAGCAACACTACAGGTAACAGGCAAACAAAATGGTAAAAATTGTCATTCAATAGAAAGAACTCCAATAAGGAGTTGACAAGCGATTTTTGGACAAGTTGACTTATATGTAGATCTTAAGTTGCTTATCATTTTTGCTAATTAAAGTATCTATCTGTTATAGTAAAAGATAATAGGCAAAAACAATAAGACTGGGATAAATTCGTCATTCAGGTGCAGTAACTCCAATAATGAGTCAACTGACGATTTTAGCAATTAGATATCGTCTTGTTGGTCATATTTGCTAATGTAAGTTTTTATCATCTATCCTAGTTTTTAAGATGCAAGACAAACAAACATTCCGAGAGTGGCAATACATAGTTCCCTACCCGGTAAAAATTCATTATACTGGAACAAAAAGCTAACTTGTTCTATAACTTGTCATGGTGTAAACAAAAAGGAAAATATCAAGTCAATATCTTCAAGCATGACTAAAAACAGTGTGGAAAACTGATTAAATGAGTGAATTTTTCAAGTCCAAGGACCATAACTCTGCACAAAATTATCAGACCGAAACAAAATTTCGAACTTGATTTGTATACTTGTCATGATAAAACTATATACCAATTATCAATCAATATCTTCAAGCATGATGAAAAAAGTGTGGAAAACACTTTCACATTAGATAGGATTAATAGTTCTCTAAAATTGTCACAAACTAATATAGATGTGTAACTTATCTATAAAATGTAAACAATTTTTATCTACACAATGTAATGTAATATATACATTAATAGATTATTATCTAATTAAGGATTACACTTCATAATTTTTTTTATATATATAGCATTAAGAAAATTAGTTTATACAAAATAACAAACAAACCTGCCAAAAAATTCTTCAAATAATTTACCAAAGAATATCTTTTAAAAAATGAGTTATCTCCCTGTGTACAGAAATATGGTTTAACATAGTACTCTAACATTAGATATGGTCCAGAGTTATGGACAGAGTTATAGTCCATTACTCTGGACTAAATCATCAGACCGGAACAAAATTCGAACTTAATCTATAACTTGTCATGGCTAAACTATATACCAAATATCAAATCAATATCTTCAAGAACGAAGAAAAAAAGTGTGGAAAATTGATTTGCCGGACTGACGGATGGACAGACGGAGAGAGAAGGACAGAGTGCAAACCTAAAGTCCCCTTCGACTTCGTTGGTAGGGAACTAAAAAATTAAAAATGTGTAAAAATCGTCATTAAAGAGCAATGACTCAAATAAGGATTTATGAAACGAGTTGAGTCATGCTGACTTATTTGAAGATCTCATCTTGCTGATCAGTTTTGCTTATCTAAGTTTCTATCGATCTATTTATAGTTTTTAAGATATTGGACAAATATGCCAAAAAATATCAAAAATAGTCATCAAAAGGGTAATAACTCCAATAAGGAGTCCTCAGACGATTTTTAGAGGTGACTTCTTTGTATATCTTACCTTGCTTATCATTTTCGCTATAAACCGAGGCAGGGTTTTAACTCACAAGCTCAGTTTTGACACACTAGTGATCGCTATTAATGATTTACTTTAGACCTTTCGGCCACTGAGGCCCCTCCAAAGATTGAGTAGGTTTGTTGATTGATCTAATTGCCATCAATTTTTGGCGTCCCAGGTTAGGAAGAGTGTAAAGTGCTCATAAACATCAAGTCTCAAAGTTAGGAGCATGTTATTCAGTGGTTGCTGTTGGTTATTCTTTTTTTGTTGATTGTTTGTCATATATCAGGCCTTTGGTTCTTCATTTGAATGGTTTCATATTTTGTCATGTCTAAGTCTTTCATAGCTGACAATATGGTATGGGTTTTGCTCATTACTGAAGGCATTACTGTAACCTATAATTACCTACATCCACATCATTTGGACTCTGGTGGACAGTTGTCTAATTAGCATTTATCCAGATCTCCGAAATTATGATAACTAACTTTAAGAAACCTATTTAACTGATTGACTGTTTTTATTTGTTCCTGTTGAATATGCATGTTATATTAGCTATTGAATATTCAAAATATTCACTGATGATAACTACAAATAAGTATAGTACTTTTAGAAACTTTTTCAGGTTTTTTCAGATATATTATCTCAACTGCTAGAAATACAAATAATCATCACTAATAATCGCTTCATAATATAATTTTCTTTAATAAATTTCATTCAAGAAATTTACACATCTTAAATTATTTACATTATATATATTTATAACTCGTGAATAAAAATTTGTTTCAACAATACATTTTAAATCTTTCGAATTCATTAGCAATGAGCACTCACACACATCTTTTCTTTGTTAATGATTACAACCACCTTTAAAATGTCTTAATGGACATAACTGTTTCATGTGAAAAGGGAGACAACTTATGTGTAAAAAAAAAAGTCAATCATCTTTTATGACAGCATTACACATTCTCCCTACAAGGAAGATACTTTCATAATCTTAAAATTATGTCATCTCTTTGAATCCCTGTATTAAAATTTTAACTTCATTGTTCGAAGAAATTTCTAAATGTTTTTTTTTTCTCTTACTGAGAGTAAGAAGAGCGATATATATCAATAAGCATGTTGCACCTTACCAATGTACTTTACCAATACCTACATTTTACTGGTTAAAATAAACTTCATATAAGCTATATATCATTTTTCTACTGTGAATTAAAAGATGCAGATAAAATAATAAGCATGTTATGTCTTCATTTGAAACATTTTACATGTGCAAAAAAAACCTTTGGATTCAAATTTCTTAAGTACAGATCAACTTCTACTTATTCCCAACATGAAAATAATCCTATTCTAAATTTAAACTGTTTTTTTTCACAAACACCTTTATTCTTTACAGATAAATTCATAATAGTGACTAATTTATAAATATGAAAGATGTATTAACTAACCCATACACTGTCCGATTGAATATTACATCATTATCAAAGACACTTGACAAATACATACACTTAACTTACTCATTGAAACATATCATGATTTTAAAAATACACATATTTACTTGTATCAATTACATATACAGAAATGATCTTCAATATCTTTCATGACTTTTTATAATATAATAAATTGCAATGTTATGAAAAGGTAATTCTTAATATTGTGAAATTTTTATTTCATTTTTATGTTCAATAAAAAATTCCACCATCCAAGAATATTTACCAATATTTTAATATTAAAGAACGGCCAACAGATTTAAATATTCACTATCATTTATCAAAAACCTGTAACAGAACTTTCTACAAAAGTTCATTCACCAACATACTAAAAGCTTGGAGACAAAATTATATAAATGTGTTTCTTATTTTCACACTGTAACAATTTTATTTGGAAAAGACAAAAAAAATCTCTTTTACTTAAAATGTGCCTTGTTTTTCCAATATAAGGAAACTGAAAAAATTAAATAGTATTTGACAATGAAAATAACATAACATTATTTTTTATGGATTTACCACTAAGTGAAAAATCAACACACAATCAATAAATAAGAACATAAAAATTCAACACAATTTCAGACAAAACTACAAGTAATCAAACAATAAAAAATAATGAATTCCTGCTTCTTTTTGTTAATACTTCTCTGAAATTTAGAATTTAACGGGAAGTTCATCAAACAACAGTAAATAGACTAGAGGATAGTGTCTACAACAGGATTAACAGAAGAGTATACATGCATCCTTCCTCACAGCCTTGTTCTTGTGGACTCTACCATGCCATCACCTTAGTCTGAGAGATGTTTAATGGAATTATGATACAATGAAATGACAACTAATGGTCACTAACATCATTTGTTATAAACTACTTTCCCTGTGTCTTCTTTTCCTTGATATTTTTTCTTCCCATGTGAAAATGGTAAATATTTATATTTCAACATATGCTGCAAGGAGAAAAATGTAAGAAATTAGTTAAATATTTAACACTTCATAACATCTGACTAAGCTCATATGAATACTAAATATCGATTGCTTTTAATGCTGAAATTTGCATTAAATATGTGAGCCATGTAACTGAAAAAGTTATAAAATAGCCCGAAATTTGTTTACATTTTTAACAATTTAATATATTGTGATTTCTCATCTTGATTGACCAGGGAGATATGAAGTTCATAAAAGTTCTATTGTTTTTGGAACATACACATATTTAACTTCTTTTAAAATGGTACTTAATTACCACTGATGTGGATACTATTAAAATATACAGCAGATTGAGGAAACCAGGTTTATATCAAAGTTTATGTTTATTAGTGCAAATTTTTGTGCAAGTTTTTTTTAATTTTCTTTATTTAAATACAAATTTTATTCTTACCTTAATTTGTCTTTTCATGGTAATAACAAATAATAAAATGAAGTACATCACTAATATAGGCCAGAATACTGGTATATTTAATGCATCAAAACATGTACATATCATAGCAACAGTAACAGCTTTTACAGCACTATACCTGAAATACAAAAAAAGATATAATAATAATAAAACTAATTTAAAAATAAAAGAACTGTATTAGGTAAATAAGTTTTCTAGATAGCATATTAACATATTCTGTTGGCACAGATTATATACAGCTATAATATAATGTTTGCAGAATAAGCAAGACAACTATACATGGTTATGAACAGAATTCTTTGACTGTATCTACAATTTATTTGGCACAACTTCTACACCCAGTTACTCAAGTCAAACTGTAAATGGGCTCTAGGTTGTGCATAACTCAAGAAAAACTATTTATTATTCTTGACAATAAAAGTACCATAACCTTCATATATTTAATTTTGAAACCCTCAATTGGAAAGAGAGCTTACTTTTATTAATTGTAAAAGCAAAAATGTACAAAATTGCCAATTTTTTTTTACGAAAGTCCCATAACTCCATACTAATAATCTGATAATCACCAAATAATAAAATTGCTTCACTGAGCGCATCCTGATACAACCGCAGAGGTCGAACCCTGAACAGTTTGGGCAAATTTGGACACAATATTCAAGCTTGATACTGTCTGAATTTGGGCTGTGATCAAATTTTTGACATAATATAGGTTTCTGACACAAAAAAATTCGTAAGGGTTCCGCGGAACCCAGTGTCTCGCCTACTTTTTCTGTTAATTGCAGGCTCAACAAAAATGAGGAAGTAAATCAATAAAAATATTCCTCTTGATACTATCTTTTGATTGTAAGAAGCTTCTGTCCAAGTTCGGTAAAAATCCAGGATAGTTTATGAATCTAATAAATGTTTAAAAACTTTAACTGCAGACTGAATGTAATGTTAACTGGAAGAAAACAAAATTTCCTTCTAGATACTAGCATTTGATCATAAACAAGCTTCTGTTAAAGTTTGGTACAAATCCAAAATAGTATAAGAAAGTTATTAAAATTTTAAAAACTTTAACCACAGAGTGAATGTGTTGTTTCCTGGCAGAAAATCTAAGTCCATTTAAAAGTAAAATACGGAAAAAAATGGATTTATTTTTTTACAAAATTTCCTTCTAGATACTAGCTTTTGATCATAAACAAGCTTCTGTCCAAGTTTGGTACAAATCCAAAATAGTATGAGAAAGTTATTAAAATTTAAAAACTTTAACCACAGAGTGAATGTGTTGTTTCCTGGCAGAAAATCTAAGTCCATTTAAAAGTAAAATACGGAAAATATGGATTTATTTTTTTACAAAATTTCCTTCTAGATACTATCTTATGATCATAAACAAGCTTTTGTCCAAGTTTGGTAGAAACCCAGGATAGTTTAAGAAAGTTATTGAAATTTTAAAAACTTTAACCACAGAGTGAATGTAATATTTCCCGGCAGAAAAACTAAGTCCATTTCTAAGTAAAATACGGAAAAAATGGAATTTTATTTTTACAAAATTTACTTCTGGATACTATCTTATGATCATAAACAAGCTTCTGTCCAAGTTTGGTAGAAATCCAGGATAGTTTAAGAAAGTTATAAAAATTTCAAAAACTTTAACCACAGAGTGAATATTTGTGGACGCCGCCGCCCACGGAATGTAGGATCGCTATGTCTCGCTTTTTCGACTAAAGTGGAAGGCTCGACAAAAAATGAGGTCAAAGATCTTACAAATCTATTGCGCAATACTGTGCAATTGACGATTCCTTCCTGAAACTATTAACTAGAGGCTCTCAAGAGCCTGTGTCGCTCACCTGTATTTACTGATGCTTTGGAAATCATGTAAAATAAGGTTAAAATCATAATTAATAGTATTAGATATTATAATGATATCTAAGAAAATAACAAAAAACTGTAAAATTTCTGTAAAATTACTAACTCAGAAGCAGCAACCAAACAACGGGTTGTCGGATTCGTCTGAAAATTTCAGGGCAGATAAATCTAAATCTGATGAACATTTTCGCCACCTGTCAGACTTGCTCTAAATGCTTTAGTTTCAGAGATATAAACCAAAAACTGCATTTTACCCCTATGTTCTATTTTTAGCTATGTCAGCAATGTTGGTTGGAAGGCAGGGTCATTGGACAAATTTTTTAAACTAGATACCCTAATAATGATTATGGCCAAGTATGGTTAAATTTGTCTCAGTAGTTTCAGAGAAGAAGATTTTTGTAAAAGATTAAAAAAATTTACGAAAAATTGTTAAAAATTGACTATAAAGGGCAATAACTCCTTAAGGGGTCGACTGACAATTTTGGTCATGATGACTTATTTGCAGATCTTACTTTGCTGAACATTATTGCTGTTTACAGTTTATCTCTATCTATAATAATATTCAAGATAATAACCAAAAACTGCAAAATTTCCTTAAAATTACCAATTCAGCAGGTTGTCAAATTTGTCTGAAAATTTCAGGGCAGATAGATCTTGACCTGATAATCAGTTTTACCTTATGTCAGATTAACTCTAAATGCTTTGGTTTCAGAGATATAAGCCAAAATCTACATTTTACCCCTATGTTCTATTTTTAGCCATGGCCGCCATCTTGGTTGGTTGGCGGGGTCATCAGACACATTTTTTAAACAAGATACCCTAATGATGATTGTGGCCAAGTTTGGTTAAATTTGGCCCAGTGGTTTCAGAGGAGAAGATTTTGTAAAAAGCTAATGACGACGACAACGGACAACGGACGCCAAGTGATGAGAAAAGCTCACTTGGCCCTTCGGGCAAGGTGAGCTAAAAATTCGAAATTTTAAAAATTTAAAAAAAAAATTTGAATCCCTTAAAAAATTGGAAAAAAAAATCCCCCCCCCCTCCCCAACTTTTTGAAACCCCCCTTGGAACAATAACCCCAAAACTCAATCCCAGCCTTTCCTTTGTAGTATGGAACATTGTAGTACAATTTCAGAGAGATCCATACACTTAAACACAAGTTATTGTCTAGAAACAGGAAAAATGCTTGTTTTTGGCCCTTATTTGGCCCCTAATTCCTACATGTTTGGGGCAATTTACCCCAAACTCAATCACAGCCTTCCCTTTGTTATATGGAACCTTGTGGTACAATGTCAGAGAGATCCATACACTTACACACAAGTTATAGTCTGGAAACTTGAAAAATGTTTGTTTTTGGCCCCTTTTTGGCCCTTAATTCCTTAACTGTTGGCCCCATAACCCTTAAAATGAATCCCAACCTTCTACTTGTGGTATTAAACATTGTGACACAATTTCAGAGTTATCGAAATACTAATACACAAGTTATTATCCTGAAACGAGAAAAATGCTTGTTTTGTGCCCCTTATTCCTAAACAGTTGGGACCATCATCCTCAAAATCAATCCCAACTCTCCTTTTGTGGTATTGAACGTTCTTAAAAAATTTCATAGAGATCCATTCACTTAAACTAAAGTTATTGTCTGGAAACCAATGTGTCTTCGGACGACGACGCAGACAACAAGACAACATCATACCATTATACGATCCCAAAAATTTTTTTTGCGGTTGTATAAAAAAGTAGCCCAACTTTATGACATCTAGAAATGTATAAAATGTTATAGAAAAAAACAATGTATTCTATAAAAATTGAGCTAGCTTTTCGCATTTTTAGTCCCATAACTGGAACGACTATTCCGAAATTATCAAAATTATATGGGTGCTTTCTGAATTCTAAATATGGTAATACTATTAAATGTAATCTACATTATTTATTCCAATTTAAGGTGTAATACCACCAAATCATAGTAAGTCACATCCTGTTGCATAGGAAAATAGGTCGAAAAAAAATATTCCCTTGAATTTGACAGTTGTAGGTAATTAATCCTACATTTCATTGCAGTAAAACATTTCTGGGTCATAAACATATATCTTGGGTATTTAAAAGCACCATTATTTTTTCATTTGGGGTTTCTATAGAATATTTTAGAAACTTGAGGTTACATGGTTACTAAAGCTTTTACACAGGTTAATAAAAGGGGAAAATTTGATTGGTTAACTTCCAGTGATGGTTATTTTCTTATATGCAATGAAATGTTATGTGAAATTTTTTCTATAGTACTGGATAGGATAAAACTTTACTCATGCCAAGTATTTCTTTATTTGAAACAAAGATAAATTCTGCACAATTTTTTGAAAAGTGAAAATTTAACAAAGACTAATCGGGGAAAATCAATGGTGGTATTACACCTTAAGGATGGTTGGCTTAAAATTCCTAACATTCAGCAGCTAAATTTTAGATAGAACTATTTAAAGTGATGTGACTGTACCTTGGTTTGTACAGTACTAGACCAACATGTACAAGTTAACAAACAGCAGGAAGACATGTCACTTCACCTGGATTTTTATTTGCTAAATAAAATTAAAAATGTATGCAGATCAAGCAAGGGATATGAACAAAATATGTTCAGAATCCTTTTTCTACCTGCAATTCATTTGACACAGTTTTTAAAATCCAGTTACTATAGTAAAGATGTAAATAGATTTGAGGTTGTGCTTATGTGAATGTTATAACTTGTCGCAATTTTTACTAGCTATTTTCATGATCATTATACTGTAAATTTTAAAGAAAAGACAACTGTTAAATAATATTGAACTGGTCAGATTGATGTTTTTGACATACTGTATTTAAAGCAAATACTATTTCACAATACATATCTTAGATAGTGAACGATAGTGAAAGGAAAAGCAACAGTACTCTCAACAAATATGAATCTGAACCAATTAAAATATCTAGCTATCAAAACATTAGGCAGGGGTTCAAAATTAGTTTCAGAGGTCCATGACATTTAGGCCTTACAAATTTAAGGTCCACTTTAGAAAAATTAAAGTTCAGTTGTTTAAAATATTTCTTAAGAAATTGTCTTTTAAAAATTTTCAAAACAAAAGTGTATAATTAAGAAATGTTCAAGTTGCTAGCATGAATGGATATTCCATTCTTAAAGTGCTATTCCTGGGTTCAATATGTCTTCAAATGGAACAACAGTCCTTCATAAAATTTGGATCAATTTATTTCACAAACTTTGAATTTTCACAAAATAGTACACTAAATGTACCTTCTATTTAAAAAGTGTATGTAAAAAGATTTTCATTTTTAAATTGAAGGCATGTTTGCAGATCAAGCAAGGGAAACTGATAATGTATGTTCAGAATCCTTTTTCTACCTGCAGTTTCTTTTGCACAGTTTTTAAATCCACCTACTTTTGAGAAGATGCAAGTGGATTAGAGGCTGTGCATGTGTGTAACTTAATTTTTTTTTATTCCCTAAAATCACTTGAGTGTAATTAAGTATGAAAAGACAACTGTTATGACAACATATGATATCAATGGAGGCAGACGGTTTTAGCAAAGTGTTGGATTTTTTCTCATTGCTAAAGATATTGCTCTGACAAACATGAATTATATACAAGGCAAACAAATTTTTGCAGCTGAATAGGTGCGAGAAAAATTCTAGAAAGCACATTCATATCTTTTCTTAGCAAAGATAACTCACTGATATAAAATCAAATGTTTGCAGAATAAGCAAGAAAACTAGACATGGATATGAACAGAATTCTTTGACTATATCTGCAAATTTATTATATGTAAATTAACTCTGGAATTACTTTTTTCAAATCATCCAATTGGAACAAATTACTTATGACATTCAGTACTTGTGAAATTGCTTATTTATAGACAACTAAAATCCCAAAACTATATACTACTAATCTGAAAATCATCAATTAAAAAGCAAATAGTCTTAAATTTAATCACAGCTAGAATTGTGCAAAAAATACATAAGAATAAACAATTCATTAAAAAAAAATTTGGCCTACTTTTGATGTTGATAATCTAATAACTCCAATACTGGTTTATCAGAAATCATCAAAAGTATACGGGCTCTTACTTTGATTGAACAAGTCCTTTTTAAAATTGGGTAGATTTTACATTGGTGCAAAATAGTTAATTAGAACAATTATTCTTTACTGATTAATAAAATAAATTGCTTCGCAGAGCACAGCTGGATACAACGGCAGATGTCGAACCCTGAACAGTTGGGGCAAAAATGGACACAATATTTGCTCTTGATACAGGTCTGAAATTGGATTGTAATGAATTTGACACATAATAGGTTTCTGACACAGAATAACTGTAGTCAAAGAACTTAGAATTGGTTATATGATTTGAATTTATATTAATTTTTTTGCTTTTGTGCAATACACTATGCTGTTGCAAATTGACCCCCCCCCCCTTTTTTTTTATTTCTGAAATCTAAAAAAATTGTCCACATCCCCCCCCCCCCCCCCCCCCCCCCCCCCCCCCCCGCCCCCATTTTTTTTTCACCTTGCCCCCCTTTTACCAAAAAAAAAATTTTTTCCCTCAAGATATGGTCATAATCTCAATTCAAATTTCCAATGGAGTTTGCAACCATAATTACCCATTTAAATACATCATAAAAGTCTTAAAATAGAAAATGACATACATAATCATGGCTAAAATTAATATTCCTTAACCAGCCTTTTAAAATAATAACTTCCAAAAATAGTTGACAGCTAATCACCTCAAGACAATACAACATTTTTTTTTATACATAATTTAAAAGCAGTGTAAGGGAGGTAATCCAAACATAACATTGTAATTTTTTTTAATTGTCCATAAACCAGAAAATCCTTGTTTTTCCCCCTAATTCCTAACTGGTTTGAGCCATAACCCGCCAAAGCCAATCCTAACCATCCCTTTGTGGTATGGAATCTTGTGGTATAATTTCAGAGAGATCCATACACCGTTTCACAAGTTATTGTCTGGAAACTAGAAAAATGCTTATTTGGGCCGCTTTTTGGCCCCTAATTCCTAAACTGTTAGGACTATAACCCCCAAAATCAATCCCAACCTTTCTTCTGTGGTTATTAACCTTGTGTTTAAATTTCATAGGTTTCTATTTACATTTACTTAAGTTGCAGTCGTATAAAAACTCACTGGAAAATTGATATTATATATAACCAACAATTCTTAAATTCAGATGTTCAATCAAAAAATAAAATTCTTTTTACCGATTAAACAATTTGATCATTCGATCAATATCTAACACAAATTCTGCATTATCACAAATTGTATACTAACTTCAATATTTTCAGTATTTTTATATTGTTATTAAATGCATGTTTGCAGATCAAGCAAGGAGTATGAACAAAGTATGTTCAAAATCCTTTTTCTACCTGCAGTTTTACTTTTGCAAAGTTTTAAAATCCACTTACTTAGGAAAAGATGCAAGTGGATTAGAGGCTGTGCTTATTATGTAACTGTTGATATTTTTTATTATCACAACTTTTACTATTTTGGTAATAATAAGAAAGGATAAACTGATATGCCTCTGTTTTGATAAGGTCAGATTTTTATGATCACAGCTTAACGCATATTTAAATTATAAGTTTGGTTATTTCTGTTGTTGAGGTCAGAGTTGCTGTCTTATTGACATATATCTCACATCTCATCTATTCATCTTTCAGACTTTTTTGTGAGAGAATATTGTAAAATTGTTTTGATGTGTAGAGTACATCTCATTGTTGGAGACTTTGCCTTGAAAGTCATGGATTCCATTAAATTTAAAGGACCACAAATTTTTGGAAGAAAAGATTTCTAGAAATATCAATAATGTTTTGTTTGCAAAGATCATATGCAGATATAATATCAAATGTTTGCAGAATAAGCAAGAAAACTAAACATGGGTATGAACAGAATTCTTTGACTATATCTACCAATTAATTTTGCATAACTTCTACACCCAGTTACTCAAATTAAATTGTAAATGGGCTCTAGGTTGTGCATTACTCACTAATAAACCATTTTTGACAGTTAAAGTACTATAACTTTGGTATTACTATTTTAAAAGCATCAAATAAGAAAGAGAGCTCACTATAATAATTGTGGCATTCAAAAATGTATGAAATTGCCTTTTGAGGTCCCTTAACTCTCTATTTTAAAATTGAAAGTTATCATATAGAAATAAAACTAGTTTTTATGACATCAAAAATATCCTCATGTTTATTAGAATTACCCATACATATAAAAAAAAAATGCCTAGTTTTTATCTTGCAGTGAACACTGCAACTACTAATATGCAATCATCATACAATTTAATTGAACTACAGTAATTCATAGAATTGAGTAAATTTTATATTTCTGAAGATAGAATAGGTGCAAGATAGTTCATTGGAACAATTAGTATAATCGGATCAAAACAAAAATTTACTGGACAATTGAGATATTATTACCAACAATTCCAGAATTCTAACATTAAGTCAAGTAAAAAATTACTTTTTTACGGATTCAACATGTTTGATCTTTGGATAAATGTCTTTCTCTAAATCTGCATAACCGCAACATATTACAATGTCTTTAATTAAGCAAGTATAAGAAAAAAGATTTTTATTTTCAAATTAAAGGCATGTTTGCAGATTAAGCAAGGAATATGTTCAAATTCTGTTCAAAATCCTTATTCTACCTGCAGTTTTACTTTTGCAAAATTTAAAATCCACTTACTTAGGAAAAGATGCAAGTGGATTAGAGGCTGTGCTTATTATGTAACTGTTGATATTTTTTATTATCACAACTTTTACTATTTTGGTAATGAATAAGAAAGGATAAACTGATATGCCACTGTTTTGATAAGGTCAGATTTTTATGATCACAGCTTAACGCATATTTAAATTATAAGTTTGGTTATTTCTGTTGTTGAGGTCAGAGTTGCTGTCTTATTGACATATATACCTCACATCTCATCTATTCATCTTTCAGACTTTTTTGTTAGAATATTGTAAAATTGTTTTGATGTATAGAGTACTTCGAAAATTCTTTATTGTTGGAGACTTTGCCTTGAAAGACATGTATTCCGTTAAATTTAAAGGACCACAAATTTTTGGAACTTTATAAGTGAAGAAAAGATTTCCAGAAATATCATTAATGTTTTTTGTTAGCAAAGATCATAAGCAGATATAATATCAAATGTTTGCAGAATAAGCAAGAAAACTAAACATGGGTATGAACAGAATTCTTTGACTATATCTGCAAATTTATTTTGCATAACTTCTACACCCAGTTACTCAAATTAAATTGTAAATGGGCTCTAGGTTGTGCATTACTCACTCATAAACCATTTTTGACAGTTAAAGTACCACAACTTTGGAATAACTATTTTAAAAGCATCAAATAAGAGAGCTCACTATAATAATTGTGGCATTTAAAATATGGAAATGCCTTTTGAGGTCCCTTAACTCTCTGCTTCTAATTTGAAAGTTATCATATAGAAATAAAACTAGTTTTTATGACATCAAAAATATCCTTATGTTTATTAGAATTACCCATACATTTAAAAAATTGCCTAGTTTTTATCTTGTAGTAAACACTGCAACTACTTATATGCAATCATCATACAATTTAATTGAACTACAGTAATTCACAGAATTGAGTAAATTTTATATTTCTGAAGTTAGAATAGGTGCAAGATAGTTTAATTTAACTACAGTAATTCATAGAATTGAGCAAATTTTATATTTCTGAAGTTAGAATAGGTGCAAGATAGTTCATTGGAACAATTAGTATAAACTGATCAAAACAAAAATTTACTGGACAATTGAGATAATATTATTACCAACAATTCCAGAATTCTAACATTCAGTCAAGTAAAAATTATCTTTTTACCAATTCAACATGACTAATCTTTGGATAAATGTCTTTCTCTAAATCTGCATAAACGCAACATATTACAATGTCTTTAATTTATCAAGTATAAGTAAAAGATTTTTATTTTCAAATTAAAGGCATGTTTGCAGATCAAGCAAGGAATATGTTCAAAGTATGTTCAAAATCCTTTTTCTACCTGCAGTTTTACTTTTGCAAAGTTTTAAAATCCACTTACTTAAGAAAAGATGCAAGTGGATTAGAGGCTGTGCTCATAATGTAAATGTTAATGTTTTTTCTTTTAAATAATTATCACAAGCTATCTTGGTAATTACAATGAAAAGACAAACTTATGAAATTGCTTATTTTAAGACAATTTAAGTCCCCAAACTCTATACTTATAATCTGAATCCTCAATAAAAATCAGCAAGAATTGTGTAAAAATTACATAAGAATAAACAATTAATTAAAAAAGTGACCTAGCTTTTGGTGTTTAAAGTCTAATACCTATTGGACGACTTATCTGAAATTTTCAAAATTACACATGGGTGCTTACTTTAATTGGCTTACAGTCTTTCATAAAATAAGCAAAGTTTTACATTTCCTGAGTTAGCAAAGGTGCAAGATAATTTATTAGAACAATTATCATAGCTATATGTAAAAATTAATTGCTTCGCTGAGCGCAGCTGGATATGACCGCAGATGTCCAACCCTGAAAAGTTGGGCCAAAATGGACACAATATTCACGCTTGATACAGGTCTGAATTTGGATTGTAACTAAATTTTTGACACATAATAGGTTTCTCACACAAAATAACTGTAGTCAAAAGAACTTCAAATTGGTTATATGATTTGAATTTATATTCAATTTATTGCTTTTGTGCAATACACTATGCTGTTGCGAATTGACCCCCCCCCCCTCCCCCCTACCAAAAAAAATTTATTTTACCCCGGTTTTTTGCTTTTGTGCAATACACTAAGCTGTTGAATATTAACCCCAAAAAAATATTTGAAGAAATTTCCTTTTAATTTCTGAAATCTGAAATGAGAAAAATTGTCTCCCCCCCTCCAATTTTTTTCACCTCCCCCATTTCCCTTATTCCCCAAAAAAATTCTTTCCCTCAAGATATGGTCAGTATCTCAAATTTCTAATGCAGTTTGCAACCAAAATTACCCATTTAAATACATCATAAAAAGTTTTAAAATATAAAATGACATACATACTCATGGCTAAAATTAATATTAATTAATAGAAACTGCCAAAAAAAAATTGACAGCTAATCACCTCAAGACAATCATCATTTCTTAATAAATAATTTACAAGCAGTGTAAGGGAGGTAATCAAACAGTGTTCTTTAATTTGAATTGGATAACCTCCCTTACACTGCTTTTAAATTGTCTCCATTGTCCTTTAAGCAGAAAAACCCTTGTTTTTCCCCTTTTTTTGCCCCTAATTACTAAATGCTTTGAGCCATAACCCCCCAAAGTCAATCCTAACCATCCCTTTGTTGTATGAAAGTTTGTGGTATAATTTCAGAGAGATTCATACACTTTAACACAAGTTATTGTCTGGAAACTTCAAAAATGCTTATTTGTGCCCTTTTTTGGCCCCTAATTCCTAAACAGTTGGGACCATAACCCCCAAAATCAATCCCAACCTTCCTTTAGTGGTTATAAACCTTGTGTTAAAATTTTATTGATTTCTATTTACTTATACTTAAGTTATTATCCGGAAACTATGTGTCTTCGGACGACGCTGACGACGACGACGACAACGTGATACCAATATATGACCAAATTTTATAATTTTTGCGGTCGTATAAAAATGTTATTTTGAAATTGAAGGCATGTTTGCAGATCAAGCAAGGAATATGTACAAAGTATGTTCAAAATCCTTTTTCTACCTGCAGTTACTTTTGCAAAGTTTTTAAAATCCACTTACTTTGGAAAAGAGGCAAGTGGATAAGAGGCTGTGCTTATTATGGTTCTGTTAATTTCTTTTCATAAATGATTTTCACTTGCTATCTTGATAATTACAAGGAAAAGACAAACTGCTATGATTTTGTGTAGACAATGTTAAATTTTAAGACCACAACAATACACTTTTATAAATAACATTTTAAAACTATGGAGACACATATAAACAGGTGTTTAATTAGCTAGTATTACTCTAGTCTGCAACCTTAATTTTTAGTACAATTACAGTGTTTATGAAATGAAAATTTACAATCAAAACATACAAAAATCATGTCAGTACAAAGTACCATCTACCGGTACCATGTTACTACCCTCAAAGAATTTCAATTCATCAACAGCAGGACTGATTTGGTGGTTGTAAAGATTTAAGATATCATTTTCTGTCAGCATGAATCCTTTCAAAGAATAACATCTGTTCCCCTACTTGTATGTCTTTTGGCTATTTTTGTTGTTGGGTTGCTGTCTTATTGACACAAACTGCACATCTCCTCTATCCACATCAAAACAGATTTATTGTGAGAGAATATTTAAAAATTGTTTTGATGTATAGAATTCTTCCTCATTGTTGAACACTCTACTTTGAGACATTAATACCAATAAAGGACCACAAATTATTACAACTTTATAAGTGAAAAAAATTTCTTCAAAAATCACTAACACCTTTTGTTAGCAAAGATCATACACAGCTATAATCATGATAATAAAAAAAATGTTTGCAGAATAAGCAAGAAAACTAAACATGGATATGAACAGAATTCTTTGACTATATCTACAAATTTATTTTGCACAACTTCTACACCCAGTTACTCAAAGAAAATTGTAAATGGGCTCTAGGTTGTGCATTTATCACTTAAAAACCATTATCAGTATTAGAGACAATAAAGTACCATAACTCTAGAATTACTTATTTTAAAACAATCAAATTGGAACAAAGCTTACTTTATTCATTTGTGACAATTAAAAAAAAAACAATTTTTTATGATTGAAATGCCATAACACTAAACTATAAATCGGAAAATTATCTAATAAAAAAGTAGCCTGTCTTCAAGTCACTTAGAATTGTTTAAAAATGTAATAATAATAAAGATTTCGTTAAAAACCTTTCGATTGATTGATTGATGGTTGCTTAACCTTTCGATGTGTATAGTTTCAAATTCTTATACCATTAATCTAAAATATTCAAAAACAATTTGGCATATATTTTAATTGAACAACAATCTTTCATATAATTTAGGTAAATTTTACATACCCTGAGTCAGTAGAGAGCTTATGTAGTTTTAGAATTATTATTATTTACTGACAAAACAAAATTCACTGGAGGATTGATAAATTTGTTACCAACAATTCCAAAATTCAGACATTCAGTCAAGTTTAACCATTGGACCCTTGTCAAATGCAATCTTGGCATTTTTACAAAATAGAACATTAATTTTAATTCATATAGAAGATGTGAAGCGATTTTAATTTCACATTAAAGGCATGTTTGCAGATCAAGCAAGGGAAATGAACAATATATGTTCAAAACCCCTTTTCTATCTGCATTTAATTTTGCAAAGTTTAAAAATCCACTTACTTGGCAAAAGATAAAAGTGGATAAGAGGCTGTGCTCATGTGTAATTGTCAGAAACTTTTTATGATTCGTAACTTTCACAAGCTATCTTAGTAATGTTTAGGAATACACATACTGCTATGCCTCAATATCGAAAAGGTATGATTTTTAATACAACATTACTTACATCTAAATTACACTTTTAATTATATGAAAGTATCTATGAAATGTGTTTAACAAACTGATGTCACTCTTCTTTAACTGCAAGTTTAGTTTTAGTTCAAATACAGTATACATATTTATGAAATGGAAATTCACAATTAAATCATGTCAGTATAATGGTACTCTTGCAGAATTATAATCCCTCACCAGCTGGACTGACTAGGTGATGGTAAAAAAAAAAAAGATTGCATTTTCAAAGCACCAAAAATTATTTCTGAAATAAAATTAATCTGCCATGCTACTAAGGAATCTTTCAAATGTCTTTTGGTTACTTGTGTTGTTGGGTTGCCAGATTTCCTTTGTTTCCATCTTGAAAGGTTTTTGTGAGATAATATTTACAAATTGTTGTAATGTGTTGGGTTATTCCTGTACATTGAAGCAATAGCTTTGATAATCAGGGACACAAATTTATGATTCTGTATTAGTGAGAAAAAAAAGTTTAATAGCTAGCTTATTTACATCTTCTTTAGCAAAATTGATACAGATATATAATATCAAATGTTTGCAGAATAAGCAAGAAAACTAGACATGAATATGAACAGAATTCTTTGACTATATCTACCAATTAATTTGGCACAACTTCTACACCCAGTTACTCAAAGAAAATTGTAAATGGGCTCTAGGTTGTGCATTACCAACAAAAACCATTTTTATTATTTTTGATGATAAAAATAAGTTGGTCTCAAGTGGAAAGTGGTCTCCTTAGCAATCATATCACATCTCCTTACTTCTATATCTTTTCACAGTATCAGAATTCCTTACCAAAATTTAAATTCTGGTAATCTTCTCATAAAAGGTTTAAATTCTTCATTGGACTTTGTTGGTAATGAAGGACCATCCTCTGAAAATATAGAAAATATAATTTTGTTTTAACCAATATCCAATCAAAACTGTTGAAACGTCACGATATGCCTTACATAAGATTGTAAATGTTGTGATTGAACTTTTAACAGAGATTAATTTCAGTGAACTCTGAATATATTGCTAAATTTTATAAAGATATGGCTGTTTATTGCTACAATATGTATGATGTATGCTGAAATATCTAAATGAAATGGTCATAATTTGTTTCCTTACCTTCATCATCCATAATAGCAGGATCAACTTGTGGTGTTAAGAAAGCTATGAATAAATTTAGTAAGTAAATTCCTAAGGCATATGTGATTATATACCACCCCTGAAAATATAGTCAAACATTTGTAATTTAGATAATGGTGGTTAACTAAATGTACTAACAATGTTAAATAAATCATATTATGATGTCCATAATAATGTGTATATAGTTCAATTTCATCCGCACCAAAACTTAATGGACAAAGGATTCATAAAACTTTTTAAGAACTCGCTCTATTTTACATGTACACCTTTTGTTAAAGAATAGTAATCAGCAAGATCTTAATATTATTGTCATATACACTTTTTATGCCATGTACAAGTACAGCACATGAGCTACTGATGTTACAAGTATGAATGCTATCAAATTTGTATATTCATCGTCAGACATTAAGCAAGCAACATTCAATCATTAGTTCTCTGGCACATGATTTGTTGGTGTATGTTAATTTTATGTTAGTGTAGTATTTGTGCTCCTTCTGATTTTTGTACAATATATCTATTTCAGATGGTCTACTCTATTTCAAAGGACATGTAGGATACAGAAATCACTGACTTTGAGGATCAAAATATAATATAAAGCATTGCCATTTTGTTTTTGGACCAGTTTAATTCCCATTAAGGGGTGGGTTTACTTTCTATCAAAGCATAATTATGTCTAATAGTATTGATTTGTTCTTCCTACTTCTAGATTTTGTTTCATTTGTGATCATTGATTTGAATCTACATTATATGCAATCCTTATTGACCAAACATATCAATACAAGTCTAGTCATATTTCTTGTTTTCTGATTGGTTGACATAATTGCTTACTGCAACTTTATTTTATCTCTGGTGGATAGTTCTCTCATTGGCAGTCATACCACATCCACATCTCCTCATTTTTATATGTATCAATTTAAAGTTAAAAACATACCTGTAAAAAGTATACCCTCACACCATACAGCAAAAACCATACGATTAAGAATATCCATCTAGCTGCCAAATGAGGGGTGGCTTTGTCTAAATAGCCTTGCTGGATCTGAAATTAATTGTACAAAAATATATCCAAATGTTGACTATCAAAATGTATTATATTTTATAGATAATTCCTCCGATGTGTACCACTTCATTTTGTTCTCTTTAGATTTATTCTATTGAAGTGTTAAGCAGTCTGCCCTATTTAAACATCATTGCCTGTCATGTAATCTAACCAAAATATTGATCAGCCATCATGTGTAAATATGCCCTGTGACTTACGGATGAAGGACAAATAAACTGTTAACACAGAAATATATCTTGCCTTTTTATCATTTTGATAGTAAAATGCAAATAGCAATACTTTTACATGTAAGTTATGCAAAATATTCAGTCAATGAACCATGGCTGAAGGTACAGGGCCAAAAAATCTCCATGGAAATGAGATGTGTCAATGCTAATACAACTGCATACCAAATATCATTGACCTACCACTAGAGGATCCCATAAACTGATCTAATCACAAACTCATACATAAACTAAGCAAATGTTTTAAAGTCAATAGACCATGACTACGGGAGCGGGGCCAAAAAATATCTATGGAAATGAGATGTGCCAATGCTTATACAACTGCATACCAAATATCATTGACTAATCACTAGTGGTTCCCCATAATCTGATCGACCTACTCACAAACTAATACATTGTCGAAGCAGAAGCAGCTATTGGCAACAATGGAATTATTCATAAAGGTGTTCATTGTATTGTTTAATGAAATTTTTGTGATAAATTGCGTCACGTCACATAAGGGATTTTTTACAACTTTGATAGAAATAATTGTTTGAAGTGGGTATTTCGCAATCGTTTTATAGACGCACATGTTTGAAGCTTATATGATTTCATGATTTATATTGCAATTTTAAATTATCCTTTAAAAAGGAACTGTTTGTTTAGTATTGAGTGTTTATTTATTACGATGTAGATTAAAAAATAAGATTTGTAGAATTTTAAAACATTAGACAACCATGCTGCAAGCTGATTTTTTGTTTGTTAGCAAGACATTTAAGAAAATTTTAAACGAAAATTATGCTTTTGTTACATGTAGCATGTGTAGTTGGCGAGAAAAAATTGAGTGGTGAAAAAATTATTATTTTAACAAAAGGTGGCAATAAAGAAAATTGACCCATGGGAAACCTTGCTTTTATCACAATGATATATGAAAAGATGTATAAATGCTATTATTTTACAGAACAAAAACAGTACAAAACCATCTTGAAATACTTAGGAGAGCACTGATAACAAACTCAAGTTGCATTGGATCATTTGTATATATTTCCTCAGGTAGAATTTTCTTATACTAAAAATGCCAAAACGTAGATTTAACCATACCTTTAACAAAAAATAAATATGGGTCACCATGCGATTATTCAAGCAACAAGTTGTGCAAAATTTGCATAGATTATTCAGAAACACTTTTTGGTGAATGAAAAAAAATCTAGGAGACTCAATTTTGAAAAAAATGTGAGAAGATAGGTATTATAATATGCTTTAAGAAAAGAAAAAATGGTGTCACTGACATTGTTTCCTTGCTACAAGTAAAAAAATGTAAATTTCTTTAACATTCCTTAAAAAAAAATTTACTACTCGAGTTTACTTATCTCTCCTTAAATGGTTAACTTGAAAAATTGATTCGAACAAAAACAAATATTTGGTATTTGTTAAAACAGTCTAATTAATACATTAAATCACTTAATTTTCTTTTTTCAAATAAACCGTCTTATATATTATTGTTCATCGTGTCTCAAAATTTGCAGACTTAACAAAGAACTAGGGAATTGTGTACTGCTGTTTTAAACAATCAAAAGATCAGTGTTCCAGCTAGGCCGTTTTCACAGGGCGGTCCGCCCGCCCTTTCCCCGAGTGCCGCCCTGTGCCCTTTTTACAGTTTCCAGGGCGCCCTGCCTTTTTGAAGATCGATTGCATATTTTTTTGTTCGTTGTGAGCTGGGACTATTATACTATTATTAGTATAATAGTCCCAGTTGTGAGACGCCAATTACGAAATTTTACCTGGCGACAAGTTTATGACTTTGTTTACAAACCCAAACTAATCAACGGTTACAACAGGTGTCATAATTTGTTGTTACAGCTAATCCATTTATCGGATGGGTCATTAATGATCATCAACATTAATTAATTCAAAAAGAATCGGTCAGTCGGCATTTGTCTTTGAAGAAATGTTCAACTTCCGGACAATTTGCAATGTTTACCGTAGTTTCATAGATAAAACGTAAATGATAGGAGAGACGAAAACCATAATCAACTTGCTAAAAACATCGTTTTACTCGTTTTCCGTAAAAAAAAATAGCAATTCAGACGTATTTGTCTTAGACTGCCCTCATTTTTATACGAAAATAACAAAATCGACCGCCATTGTTGATCGTATTTACCATTTTCTACGTACTGTTTATAATCCTCCAAAGAAGGAGCACACCCGAATAAAGAAAGATAACTCAACCTATTTTTTTCCTAGCATTGAGTTACTTACTAAAGATATTCTAAAATATGTCTACATACTTCTGGCCTTAGAATTTATATGTTAAGGTCTTTTGAGTTATGGGAAAAGTTAAAGAGGGTCTTAGTAGCAGGGTTGATAGGGTGCCTTGGTCATCTTTTCTGTATTCTTTATTTTTAATACAAATTTTCACTGTTCACTAATTCCTAACATTGTGTTTACTGAGCACAGCTGTTTTTTTATGCTGTATTGCCTTTAAGCACAGCAGAGGTAGAAAGGGTCTTTCAAAGGTAAAACTTGTAAAGTGTGACCATAGAAACAGAATGAACCAGGACACCTTTCAAAACACACTGCATATAAAGCTTAACTGTGTCAAGCAATGCATGCTTTGAAAACTTGTGTGACAGGGTGTTTGACAAGTTTTTCAGCCTAAAAAGTAGAGATAGAGTTTTATATGGCTTATGATGTTGTTCTTGTATATATATAACCAGTGATTCAATGAATAAATACAATGTTTGATTAATACCTTTATTAAAACATGCCCTTTTCATATTATCATGTCACGCATTAAATGCCCTTTTTCAGGATTGGTACCCTGCCCTTTTGAAATCCTAGCTGGAACACTGAAGATGGTGGTATACAGTTAATCTACCTTAAAACATTTGTAAGCACGTACATAGTTTGTTTCACACACAAATATTTCAGACACAAAAAGTACATTTATTCAGACACTTAGATGTACATTTTATATATTTATCATACTGTTACCACTTACCTCCCCTAGTCTTTTAAAAAACATAGTAACTGCACCAGGCTGTGAAGGTGGGGTATCAATGGCCTCCATATTTTTACCTAAAAAGAAAATAGTTGTATTTTATTTAATTTAGACTACACTTGAAAAAACGAATGTTCTATGTATAAAAATTAATCTATAGTTATTCATATCTATACTATTAAATGAGAAGACCTCATTTTGTGTGTCGCTTCTCTTCCTTCCACATTAAATCAATCATCATGCTTCTATGTCCTATAGGTACCATGCATAGTTGCATTTGTCATCCTCGCTTATAAATATTTCGTTTGGGTTTTTTTGGGAGAAAAACCAAAATAAAGACGTCCGGATATTGTTTCCGTCCTCGGACTGACTTTTAAGTTATAGATAAGACTTCCGTTTAGGACTTAAACTTACACATTATTTTCATAGGTACAAGGGGACAGGACAATTAGTATTTTCGCATTTTTCTGTATACTATGAACAAACATACATGTATATTATATAAATACAGTGTATTTGCTATTTGCTATCAATTCCAAGTTTAATTCCATGGATTGATAATAAATACCAAATAAACTGTATTTATATAGTATATGTTATTATGTATGTTCCTAGTGTACAGAAAAAAACGCTAATATAATTGAAATTAACAGAAAAAACAACAAACAAATAACGGACTTTGGAAAAAGGGGGAGGGTTAAAAAAATTGCACTGTCCCCAAGTACCTTTGACTTTTGATAACTTTCCTGAAATACTCCAGTCATAAAATCTTTTACAAAAATTCATCCTACAACAGTTTACATACCATCAACAGCACTCTAAATGCCCGCGATTTCGCGGGTGTGTTCTAGTAATATTGAATCTAAGAATGGTTAATGTTTTTTCCATCTGGCACTTAGCTTGTAAAATCCCTGTATTGTACCAAACCTTAACAACTTTGATTGTAAAGATTTTTTTTCCTTTTTTCAATGTGTTTTCCAGGGGTTGATAATGTGCAGGTTATTGGTCTCAGTCCTTGTTGGAAATAGACCATTAGAATAAAATATACAGTGTTCTCCCCAGGATTTTTTGATAGCACTGTGCAGAGCTCCAGATAAGCTGCGTATTTGCGTGATCACGCAATACAAATAATTAAAAACCCAATGCAATTGCCCATTGCAGGGTTCAATAACCCAATTAATTCAAAGGAAAACCCAATTATATGCCAAAACCATGAGTTCTTAACGCTTTTATTTGCTATTGTTTGCGTTATTTACCCTTGTCTGATTACAGCCGTCGCGTAAATCTATTTTTATAATATTTATAATTGGAAATGTCCTTTCGTTCTTAAAATAGAGCCCTGCATCAAGTAGCTGTAATGGGTCCCTGTTGGAATTTTCCATTGCTCAAAAGGTACACGTGTTTATGAAAATATTTCGATCTTCTCGGCGTTTATCCAATTAGCATGTGACATGCTGTCATATTTTTTCGAATTGCTTGGGATTTATCATAACATACAATGAATTAAAACTAAAGTAAATGTCCGATAAAAATATTGAATAGAAGCATGTTTTCGGCTTCTTTATGATAGCTGAGGGAAAGTTATAATGATAACAAGACTCAGCTAGTGATTTTAGGAAGCGTCCATTGAACGCACGGGCGTGTTTGAAGGTACGAGAACATTGCTATAGAACGATAAACACGGGGTTTTGTCAAAAACGAAATCAGTTGGAATAAAAAGTGAAAGGCCAAATCAATTATGACATGATATGTAGTTGGAAAGCATCGGAAACCAAAAGTTCTGATAAGGGACAACTTAACCCAGATTTATGTAAATTGAATTAAACAAAAACAGTTTATAATTATATATAACTTTTTTTCATTTTAGTTGATGAATGAATACACATATCCGTTTTTTACGTCAAATTATGCAGCTTGACACTTTCTTTGTTTTGGTCTAATTGTTCTGGATGCTTAAGATAGTTGTCTTATTGGCAAGTGCAGTATAACATTGTCATTTATTTACTTGATGTTGCAGAATTATTTGTAAATTTAAGTTGAATGTGGTCTCCATCATTAAACCACCCTATAAATCTCAAGGTTTTGGGGTATATCTTAAATCTGGGAACTTCTTTTTATTTTTATTAAAAAGTAGATCTGGCAAATAGGTGAAAGGACTGGCAAAACTTTCTTACAGCACCTAAATTTCACATATATTACATAAAAATCTAAACACTTAGCCACACCTACCCCAACTATAATTATAAACTGTAGGGTGATCATATGGGATCTAGAAAGGCAATTAGTTACTGTCCAACTAGTGACACCAGCTGCAGTTTACATAAGTTTTGAGAAAATACAAAACTGACAATGACTGACAGAACGTTTAAAACGGGACACAAATTAAACGTTCAATTGCTCGTCAGTGAATAAACCAAATAAAACAGCTAAGCACATATACAAAGAAAGAAACACATTTAAGATGGAAACACATCTGGGGTTGATATAATGTGATTATAACATGCCTAAATATTCAATATTTTGTTGTTGAAAAAACCCAATACATTAAGGAGCTTGTTGTTGAAAAACCCAATTTGATATTTGCTTGAGGGGTGAATTGGAATTGATAATGCAATTAAAAAACTTTATCATCCAATTACATAAAAAAATGGTGGGTAAAAACCCCAATTTGTGAATTCTTACCTGGAGCTCTGGCTTCGGTAAGCGCGCGATATTATTAGATTCACATTCTGCGTTTGCGACATAATGTTACATTTACTTATAACTGCCATGTTGGTTATATTATATTTAATAGACAAAGACCTGCATTTTTTTATACATATGCATTATCAGAAAATGAAATAAGTATTTTTTTTTATGAAGCTTTAAAAATTAAAATGCCTTGATAATTTAAATAATTTGATTTCATTACCATCCCTCTCCACCTTTTCTTTTAAGAATAAGTATGTACAATTAAGCACGGTAGGTATATCTTTTCTCTCACTTTTAGTTGTTTGACTCAAACTAGTTATGTTTTTCCCTTACAACTTCATAATTAACAAACACATGTTTAAGGTGGTACCCAACACCTTGACCAATATTAATTTGGCTCGTTTTATTTTCATGAAATTTTGACAAAATGTTTACTTTGACCCTTTGACAAAAATACAAAAATTTCAAAAAATTTCAACCAACCACTTTATCAGAAAAATTTCATTGGTTATATAGCAGTTTGACAAACACTAATTTTGATCATTGAGAAGCTTAATATTTCCTTAACAATACAACGTGATTAAAACGTTAAGTTGATTTTTACAGAGTTATCTCCCTGTAGTGTTAGGTACCACCTTAAGAAAGTTTCCAATGGCCAAATTAGACTTTTTTTATTGACTTTTATTTACATCTTTCAAATTACAAATTCACAATTAAAATCAGTATATTATTTAATATCAAAGGAAGAAATGGGATGACCCTTTCTATAAGTAATGAAATGTTATTACAGACATGTTTAAATAAAGGCTAACATATTCCAAGATGCATCTGATAGAAACAGAATTTTTGTTAAAGATTTTCTTTTATTATTTAAGGTGGGTTATATATAATTATTAATAAAAATTATATTTGCCAATTGAAACATAAATACCACCTTTAAAGGTTGTGTTTGATAACTTTATTAATATTTAAATTCAAAGACTTATGGATAGTATGTACTTGTTTCAATAGTGATGATTATCAAACAGTGCTTTTTATTTCCACCTTTCTAAAGAGTACATTTCATTAAGTAACAGGTGGTATAGAAGTAAAGAACAGTCACAATTAAAGACAAAATTTAAATGGATATACCAGAAGCATTGTCCTTTATTGTCCCCCAGATATAATTGATCAAGATGCCTTTCAATTTCAAAATGTAACATGCTGATGCTTTATTGAAGCTATTTATATAATCACACTAAATATAAAGTTGTTTCTTTGGGGCGCATGTACTTTTTCAATCCAAAATATACAATTTTCATCATGGTTTGTTGCAATGGTAACTTGTAAATGTGAAATTTATTTTCAGTTTCTAAATACCTTATCCCTCAGTTTGGTTCGGACAAATTACAGAATTTTGAAACAAGTCCTTAAGATGATTTTTTTATTAGTTCTTATTGGCTTTGAACTAGCTTTCAGTAACTGCAAGAACTCTCAGATCTGTACTTTTGAGTCTTTTTGTGCTGTATATCTCAATATGATGAGTTAAGCTCTTTTCAACTGACTTTTAAAGTTTGTTTTTATGTTGTACTGTTACACCAGTCCCTGGTTAGGAGGAGAGTTTTGCGCCAGCAATCATCTTCAGTTGCAACACATCAGGTGACACATGTGGAGCAGGATCTGCTTGGAGCTTACCCTTCCAGAGCCCCTGAGATCACCGCTGGTTTTTAGTGTAGTTCATGTTAATGTCTTCTCACTTTGTCTTCTACCATATATGTAGTGACCACCTTCAACAAATTGAAGATTATATCGTCAGTTTTTTATGTGGTGTTTAATAATGTTGTTTTTGGTCTTTCTTTGTCATGGCATTGAGTTTGTTTTTCGACTTATTAGTCCGATTTATCATGATCTCTTTGGTATCTTTCACCTCTCTATAAATCATACCCCTCAAAAAATGATTTTTATTGCCATTCCGGCAATTTCTTGATCATATAAACAAGATGCACAAATCCTGTGGTATATTAACTTAACGAATTCCAAACAGTGCTTTCGAGAAAAGATTCGATTATCACTGAACTGTAATCCCTTTTTGGGATACAGAACTCCAAAAGGATAAAATTATTTACGATGTGCCGGTACTTTGTACAGTGTCAGAAGCAGTTATTATATTGTCTCTTACGTGCTTTTGTATGGTGTTTACCTGGACTTATCTTTTATGATGGATTTAATCTTTCAAATTATTTCATAAATTATGTGTCTGAATATTCTAGAAATAGAGAATTTCTCATAATTAGCCACGTTGCATCTCCAGGTTCATGAACGAATGGATTCCACTTCACTTCCGCTACAACAGTGCATGCGCATGTTGAAAATCCGATCCTGTCACTTATTCTTAATTATAAATCCCTCCGCCTCCTGGAGCACCACTAATATTTGTGTAGCATAGGCCTGTTAGCAGCGGTAAATCAAAGTACTGAAGTAGTGAACATCGGATGACCGCATGTTCTTGTGGATGGGCAAACGCACTTGTCTCAGAAAAAAAACACATCTTTATACCTGAAACTGAGGTTAATGTACAGCAACCGCCGGGTTGTACGAACGTGTCATTAGTCAGACTAATGAGTCATTAAGTCTTCATTATGAAGACTTAATGACCCATTAGGCTAATTGTTCGTACAACCGTCTGCAGATATATAATTTTTTCTGAGACAAGTTCGTGCGTGGAAGATGAATAAATAACAGGAAATTCAACCACCGTAATAACTAATATGAGGCAGGTGTTACCTGTGAAAGGGGACGAAGTCAGAAATCTTTTAGCCCTTGTACCTTTTCGCCCTAATACCTGTTCGCCCTAATTCCTGTTCGCACCGAGTCCGTTCGCCCTGATTTCTATTTTATTTTGTTGTCTTATATAATATAAATTATTTGAATTAATTATGTTAAAGCTCGTTGAAAATTCCGCCGAAATATTTATGTTGTATTGATGCTACCAGATAATTATTTTTCTTTTGATTTGCATTGAATATTCTTGCCAGAATATTCATCATGTTGAATGTGGACAATATTTTGAAGAAGAAGAAGTGTTCATGAACCAAGTTATCTGTATGAATTTATCTTTTTTGAAACCTTGTAACAATTTCAAAACAATCCAAACAGGTATAGCAAGATCCAACTTACTCAACACCTTGAGATCAAAGAAGCCAAGCGGCGAAAACAATTTCCCTTTAATGTCTTACAATTGTTACATCATTGTTTTAACTCATTCCAAGCTGACTTGTTTATTTAAAAAAAACAATTTCATTATTAATCCATCAAAAACAATAACTACAACAATTAGTGAGATCAAAGACATCGTAATCATATCTAATCAGCATTCTAAATTACAAAACTATGAATTTTCGGAATACTAAGGCTTTTCCACCTCAGAAATATATTACCTTAGCTGTATTTGGCAAAACTTTAAGGAATTTTGGGTCATCAATACTCTTCAACTTCGTTCTTTATTTGGCCTTATTAACTTTTTTGATTCGAGAGTAACTGATTTATATATCTTTATTCTGACAAACCTTCGTCAATACAATGGTATACAGAAGTTACATGTAATAAATAGTCAGGCGCGGATCCAGAGCTTAAAGCTTAAAGCGGGGGGGGGGGGGGGGGGGGGGGGGGGGGGGGGGGGGGGGGGTTGTGAGAAATGTTTTTGAACATTAGAGAAGTTTTCTTGTTATACCAAACAATATGTTTTTTCAATAATTGGCACACTTTTTGTTCATCCGACATATGGTTACTCAAAATAAACTTTTTAGATTAGTTTAATTATTTAATTACAGATCGTATCCACCGTTTTGCAATTGCTGTATCAGCCCTTGCATCTATTCCACTAGCCGTCTTATCATGTGTGTTGGTCAAGTCTTGTGATCTTAATAAGGCTGTTTGGTGGTATTTTTTTTTTTGGGGGGGGGGGGGGATTAACATTCACCATTTTCTTAACCCAATTCTGAACGGTTTTTAACAAACTGTTCGGGGTTGTCGTCAAACTTTTTTACCCGTACATTTCTTGTTTATGAAAAGGAAAAGAACTAGGTGGATTCCAGTTTTCATTTAGAATGCTATACATTTGAGCACTAGGTACAGATGTGGAAATAAAGTTTGCAATATCCTTAAATTCAGCTGGTGTCATTTTTCTAAAAAAAAATTCTTATGGATATGATAAGGTGAAAAAGTATTTGTCTTCAAATCAAGCTAACAGAAAACGTCGTTTTAATCATAAAACCAACAAATTATTAAAGTAATAAAATATAGGGATAGCAGCCTTGAAAACATCATTAATTATGCGATTAGAAGCTACATGTAAACTGAATGATAGAATGGTTTATTCCCGATTGTCCCACTTTTTTAAATTTTAGAGTTCTGATTGTCCCACATGAAAAGTTCTGATTGTCCCACATTATTTTACGAAGCAAAATATTCTTAAACAAACAAGGCAACTGTTGTTTATTTTGCTAAATACACAAGAATTAATTATTACATGTTCAAATTATTATTAAATATCAATCTAATAAATGTATAAAATATGATTTTTTTTTAAAACATCAGATTAATGAACTTTTGCTTAATTAAAATAACATTTCTGATTTCTGAAATATATCTATAATGTTACGTTTATTTATAAAACAAATATCCATACCGTAATTTTAATTACATTTTTTTCTAAAGTTTTAAAATAAATTTAGAAATAATGCATGCAATTTAGAAACATAAAGTATAAACTCGTTTACATACAGTCTACACGCATTTGTTGATGGAGATATGTTTCCACTAGTCTTTGCACTTTTACTAGGGAAATCAGAGGACATTTACATTCGTCTTCAGAATGGCTAAGTTAGTGTGTTTCAGTATGCTAGCATTGCCTCTTATTTGTTACACTTCGACTATATTTTTTGCAATCATATGCCAATGGTGTGTTGTGCTGTTTATGTTATGTATTATGTGTGCTTAATTGTTGTACCTTCTGCATTGTGTGTGCTTTATATACTAGTACATTGTATCTGCTCTTCATGTCATATGTGTGCTTTGATGAATTAAGCTGTTTATTATGTGTGCTTTATTGTATAAAGCTGTTTATTATGTGTGCTTAAGTGTACCTCTTAAGGAATTGAGTAGTGCTTGGTATGAGCTATTTTATGGCTTAATATTATATTTTATGTTTGATGATACTTCAACTGTACCTATTATGTGCAAAACAAAATATGTTAATATTATTTGTTCTTGTTTATTTCATATTCTATAAGTTACATTGATTAGTTACCTGTAATTACCTGCTACACACTATAAAAACAAATTAATAACTTTCAAAACAATTCCCGATTGTCCCACATTTATACTTCCCAATTGTCCCACAAACATATTCCCGATTGTCCCACAAAATTTCATAACTTTTTTACCTGTAATTTCAAAAAGTGGGACAATCGGGAAGACACCGATAGAATTGTAAAATAAATACGAGAAGACAACTTTTGGAAAATGATTTGAGAATATTATAAGAAAAGATAGGGTCACTGTACAATTTTTCTGGCTAAAATATAAAATAGAAAAATTTAATTTAAATTCCTTCAGAAAATTTCAGAGTTACCTCACCTTCAATTCATATGATTTAGATTTAAAAAAATGGATACCTTTTCATATATTGCGTATGTGAAAATGTAACCTTTTCCCATATTGTTTGGGTTTCATGTGGTGTGTAATGTAGGAGTGGAATACCCAAATGTCAAAAATGAAAACTTGGTTGATTAAAACACAGCAGGGAACACCAAGAACGGTGACAGACGAAGAAGTTATGGGAACTTTATTGACCTTGTCATATTTTTGTGATATTTTCCCGACCATTACACATAATTTCAAGCTTGAAAAGGTGACCAATTCCAGCGGCACATCATATCACCTTGTATACAGGAAGTGCCACTAGTAATCTCAATTTATATGGAAAATGTGGAAGGTGATATACGATACTATTAAATATGGATGCCTTGGAGACGTGTCAGACACACCAATACAATAGACAATAACACTATTGAAGCTAGTAAAAACTTGAACAGTTCTATGCTTTCGAATGGCAACTATTCAATGTCTCAAATAGCTTATAACAGTTGTCTTCTTAAAACGTACAGAAAAAAAGTAAAATTAACTTACAACTGCTAAAAAAACCACAAACAAACAAACATGTCGAGGCCTTTAGTTTTCTCGTTTGAATTGTTTTACATTTGTAATTTCAAAGCCTTTTATAGCCAACTATACTGTATGGGTTTTTTTCTTTTTAGAAGGCTATACGGTTGCCTATAATTGTTTATATCCACTTCATTTGATCTTTGGTTGATAAAAATTCAAAAGAAGATGTCGTACGATTGCCAATCCAACAACTCTCCATAAGAAATCAAATGACACAGAAATTAACAGCTATATGTCATTGTACGGCCTTCAACAATGAGCAAAGTCCATAAAAGGCCCCAAAATTACAAATGTAAAACAATTTAAAGTAAAAAACTAACGGCCTAATTGATGCACAAAAAATGAACGAAAAACACATATCTATGGTGTACCATTTGGTTCAAAAGGTATTTTTATCGGTTAACCGCTATTTATATACCGGTTAACCGCTATTTTTATCGGTCAACCGCTATTTAATGTCGGTTAATCGCTATTTTTATCGATTAACCGCTATATATTTGTCGGTTAACCGCTAATATTACCGGTTAACCGCCTTTTTTTATCGGTTAACCGCTATTTTTATCAGTTAATCGCTATTAATTTATCGGTTAACCGCTATTTTTATCGGTTAAACGCTATTTTTTATTGTTAGTCACTTCTAATTTATCGTCTATGAACAAAACAACTAGTTATTAGAAATAAGTAAGTGATTGATGGAGGAAGTTTATCGCTTAACCTGTTTCAACAGTAATTTGAATTGCTGACTCCTCCCATGTTGGTCAATTATTCCCACCCAACTTAAAGAATTGTTTGACGAACGCCCACTTGTTTCGAGCGTTGAGCACGTGGCAATATCATAGCACATAGCACTATATTGCACGTCAGCAATTTTTATTTTATTTATGACAAAACGTATTGCTTTGCGTGAATTAATCACCAAAGAATGGATTAATTTACCTCTCAGATTCCCATCTTCTCCCGCCCTCACCTCCTTTTTTATATTTACGCCGACAAAACAACGCGGTAGACGCTTTCCTGGTGATGGAATTTACAATTTCTACCTCTTTATTCCTAAATATCATAATTTCTAGATCGATTCGTGATTTATTGTTTTTTTTTTGTTCATTCTCTTTATAAAACATTGAAAAAATATTATGCACTGGTGGT